AGCTCCTCCCACACCAGCCACGTCCACATCCACCCACTTCTGCAATTTCCTCTCCTTCATCACAGGACAGCAAACGTTAGCGCTTTAGGGTTCGGCAGGGCTCACAGCCCAGGGCTCAGCAGGAGCCAGGACCGGTGGGTCTCAGCCCCGGTCACGCTCTCCAAACAGCCACGAAGAGAAAAAGACTGAAAAACACGCCGAAAATATCTGAAAACCACAGTTACATCTCCAGGAAACTTTGTAGTTTGTCTCCTGAGCGTCATTTCTGTTTGTTAACACTCGTGAGATGTTCCGGTCTTCCACCCAAACAGATAGATTATATTTTGGGGGTCCTTTATTTGTGAAGATCAATCATTCACACACCGACAACAAACCCATTTCACTTTCCAAGCCGTCATTGGAAATACAGGAGCATCACGGGCTGCGAAAGCTTTTTAATGGATTGTGGAGTTAAAAGATTCATCCTTTAAGGATGCTGATTTTGGACCCGGATGCCTTTTTTTTTTAAGACCTCATTATTAGCCCTATTCAGCGCAATCTCAATTAATTCTGAAGTGTTTTCGATCTGAAATGCAAACAAAACGGATGTATTGTGAGCTTTATGAGGACTTTTACAAAGAGCTAGAGGTCTATGTGAGATGTGAGAACGAGTTCTTTCTAAGAAAGTGAATAATTTATTCTCTCAGCACACAAAGGAATGGCGGATAAACAGCTGAGAGCTGATTTCAGTTTTCAGTTTTACACGAGCCGGGTGATCAGTTTGTGGGAGTATATTAAAGCTTCAAACGTCCTAATTCGGCCGCAAATCAATAAGACCACATAGATACATGAGCTAAATCCCTCAAAATGCTGAAAGGAAATCAAACAGGTGAGGATTTAGAGCAAACCACCTTAAATCTGGTCAGAAATGAGCTTATCTTGCCTCTTAATGTCCTCATTTATGATGGCAATGTACTATTCGATTTGTATTTTGTCTGAACTTTGTCTTTTTTTCCCACAAGCCTTTCTTTGGTTTAATTACCTTTTTTCTTTGTTATTGGTTTTCATCATCAGCTGTTCATTGTTCATCTTTTTTCTTACCGAGGCCTTTTTTTCTGTTGTTCTTAATAATCTGGTTCTTTTTCAAATGCTGACAGCCGATCAGAGCAGTAGCTGCTTTTAAAGAAGCTGAATTTCTACATTTGACATGATGGATATGTGATTACAGACTTATTATATAGATCGGGAAGAAAACCTTCATTTGTAGCTTTGAGAAGCCAGTCGATGCTTGATTGTTTATTTTTATGAACAAAAGCCAAATAATGATGCTTTGATCATAGATCATTTGGTAAATCATGCCCTATGTAAAAAAAAGAAAGAAAAGAAAAACAAGAGCAGCCCACTTTAATAGTCAACAAAGTCCAGGATTGCAGAAAGCTTTAAATCAGGTTTACAAGCAAATGTATACAATATCACCATCTTGTGGTGGAAAGATTCTCTGATGATTCAACCCAGACTCAAAATACCAAAAGTTACTAACTTTTAATAACTTCCATTTAAAGTGTAAAATCAAGACAACATAGCAAGTAGTGAATAATAATAATATACCACGTTTTGTTTTTTGTTTTTTACACCAAACCACCTAAAATAAAAATAAAAAAACCAATAAACTTGATGGCTTATATAAAATATACATTTCCAGAGCAGTGTGCACACAGAAAACCCACCATGGGTCTGGACGTGTGGATTTAAGGTGCATCTCTAACATCTCTGGCATTTTTAAAACACTTTAAAGGAGGCAAACCAAATAAAAACACAACTCAAACGTGAGTTTTCGTTGTTTTTAATGCATAATTTCTGATGAGAGGAGCCGTTTCACGCCTCATCACAAACCTAACCCACAATGTCTCGGACAGTTTAACAGCTTAAAAATAAGAAAAAGTCCATATAAAAGATAAAGATTTAGGAGTTCAAGGATAGTGGACAGTGGTGAAATACTTAATTTGACCCCTATTTAGTCAAAAAAGATGGAGAGAAAAGAAGGAAATAAAGAAGTTATTGGCCAAAGGATTGCCTGAGAAGCTGGGCCATGGATCCACGATGTGGGAGCATCACAATCAACAGATTTCTGTTTGTTCTTCACAGGTTTGATGTCGGCGTTCATGATTCTCTTGTTCACTAATGCGACGGAACTGGGCATCACAGACTGAAATCAAAAGGGTAAAAGGCCTCTTCTGGAATAAAGAGATATGCTCGCTCCCGCAGAGCTGATGCTGAAAACCAGCCGTCTGCCTGAGCTTTGCCCCCTAAAACCGCCGTTTCCGGCCTGGATTTAGGTTCAGAACCGACTTTTCTGCTTGTTTTTCTTGTTGTTCTTGTTGTTTTTCTTCTTGTGAGGCGTTTCTTTGCTCTGAGAAGAACTAAGTGGAGGATTAAGCAAAAGGGGAACGTCTGAAGCCTCAGTCACTATCAATGGAATCAGTCTGAGGGGATGAGCCCATTAATCCATTTACCTCAACACATTAAAAGCATTGTTTCTTAAAAAAACAAATCAAAAGAACTCATAATTTTCCAGTAACTCTTCACAGGTTGGTTTTTCTTGCTCTTACAGTTTTTCTGGAGTACTTTCGGCCTTTTCTGGGTCATTTCTGGACAAAACTCAGACGTTTACTCGGTTGGTTTGCACGGCGGAGACCGGGACGCTCTTTCAGAAAGCTACTGATCGGTTAGACGTTAGTGCAGCTGTAGGTGTGCAGTTCAAGTACAACAGCTCATCGACACCACAAAACACTGAGGGGAACTCACTTCGAAAGGAGCAAATGAGGGGGGGGAAAAAAAAGCACATCCAACAGAAAGTCAAAGCTAAATGGGAGGCTAAAGGACGAGTGCAGACAGACGCCATTTCCTGACACAAAGCCTTAAAATGCAAAAATTGGGATTTTGTAAAGCATCAGAATGAGTGGAAGTAACAAACAAATCGCCCCCCCCCCCTAACTCAGACCCAAAGGGAGGCCAACACTGTGCAGGAGCTCTCGTTTGGACGACGGCTGCAGATCGAAGTCAGTGGGTTCTCCGCCTCCTTTCTGGATTTATTTGACTAAATCGATCCGGCGGTTTCCGTCTTCTTCCAATAAATAAAATCGGACGAACCGGCTCGGAAGACACACGAAAACACAAAATCGGAATTCAGAACTTGTGAAGACGACGTCGAGCTGCAGCGGAGAAACGCCGGAAAAGAAAAGGCTGAAAACACCCGATTATTAAGCAACAGG